ATGGGTGAATCCCCAGGGTCGAGGGAAGGCCTGGAACACTAAATGTTCTATTTCAAGCCATAACTACTGCAATAAAACCCCACAATAATAAATAGGTGGAAAATGTAACTCTTTGAGGTACCACCTGTTTCTCTGTATGGACAGATATCAGAAGATGGTGATTTAAAAGAAATGAACAACACCCTTTCTAACTTCCTTCAATGCTACCAAATAACTGTGAGTGAACAAGCAGCTGAGGTTTCATACCCAAGTGACAAAGCAGTGTCCAACGTCCTCTGGCAACTGCTCATATTTTTCCAGCTCCTTTAGGAATATGCTGCAGAGAATAAAAATGTTGTCATACTATTAGCGTGTTTTAAAACTAGTGAGATACACCAAAACTGAAAAAATTGTGCCTTCTAAATTTTAAGAATTAACAAAAATGTATAGTTCTTAAGTAGGTTAAGTTATTGTGACTTTCAAATAGCTGACCAGTTTAGCCTTCAAATACTTTCTAACAGAAATTTTAGCCTAGCAGCTTACTTCTGGGAAAATGCTAGCATTTAGTAGCTAAGGATATAATTTAGGGAGGTAAATGTTCAATCAGAAGAACCCCTCCTGCATTTTCTGCTTCTGCTGGGGTGGGGGCGGGGGAGGGAAGAGACTGCACTAGGTCTGGCCCCAGAGTCATCTCACCATAGGCTACAGGGTGGCATAGACTCCACCTAAAGGAGCTTCTGACGCTGCTGCTCTTTTTAAACCTTAAAATAAAATCACAAACCTCCTGTGGCTAATGGAAAGTGCGTTTTATTTTGGTCAGATTACACATCTGTTCCTTTCTCAGTTCTTCCTTCTCTCTTATCATAAAAGACCAAAAAACATCGGCCAGTGGTCCTAAGGGGAGCTCTTCTTTCTTTTAACCCTAAGAAGTAATTTGTTTGGCAGCTGATGACTCAGCTTGAGGGTAATTAGGGTTCTAGCAAAAACACTTACAGTTTTCCTAATCTTATTCCTGAAGAAAATAAGCACAAATATAAAGTTCAGTTTGTATTTAAAGAATCTCCAGAATGTCAGTATTTTTGGAGAAAGACTGATGGTCTTCATTCAAATTTCAACAAAATCACTGAAACATTTAATTTAACTGGAAAGTGTTTATTTCTTGTTATGGAACTTCAGCGCAGTATCTAGATTTTAAGAATAACTGCTTCCCAAAGATAAAACCACTCACTTATTATGAAACTCATAGATTTCCTGCATGTTTCCAAAGATAATGAGCTCTTTGTTTACAATGCCTGGTGGGATCTCCTCCACACCGCTGGTCATTTCCCACAGGTAGGTCTGGAGCGGAGGGAAACAGAGGGATTAGACAAAAATCAATGCCAAATTTTCAAGAAACAGCTATTCCTGACATCTGCAAATAGATACACAGAGTTAATGTATGAATGAAAATATGTCCGAAGCATGGAACCTTTTACAAAACATAAAAAACTCTTTTTAAAAAGAGCCCTGCAGTTGCTATGAATATGTCAGAAGGGTTCCTATACTTTTCAACTTTAAACTCACTCCCAGCTTCAGATTTTGGAATTAACCTACTCCAGAAGGTATGACAAATATTTATGATACTACTGAGTATTAGCTGCCAATCATAATTAGTAGGCACATTTCTCTGAAGCTGCTGTAAAACTCTACACAAAGAGAATGTCAGCCAGCTATCATGTGATAAACGGAATGAGAGGATTAATGCTGTATCATCTCTGCAATGAGTGAAAAACAAGCCTAGAACTTCACAGAAGTGCAGACACACGAAACTGGCTGCCGGAGCTCTCTTTAACATAAAAAATTGTGATTATTCTAAGAACTACCAACAAGGAAGAGAAAAATAGCAAGGTTATCCTCAATCTAAATAAACAAGCAAAAAAAACTTACTTACATCCATACACTCCCGGAGGTCTCTTACATAAGCCTTTTCAGTTTGAATCAGCTCAGCCATTATGAACCTTAAACAGAGCAAGACAGCACAGTGTAGCTCAGTCAGGATGCGTGCTCATTTTACCAGCCACTTTTATGGCTCTACAAAATAATAAGGAGAGTCTAAAAGCACTAGTCCTAAAGTAACGGTTTTGAACAAGTAAATCAAGAAGAGATAGACAAAACAGTATCCAGCCACTAATTCAAAAGCAAAAAAAAGACTTTTGGAAACGTTTTATTGGGGTACATACAGATCGGGTTTCTCAGCTTGGCACTATTGACATTTCAGGCCGAATAACTCTGCTGTGGGGCTGTTCAGTGCACTGTAGGATACTCAGCTGCTCCTCTGGTCTCCACCCACTAGATGCCAGTAGCACCTCCCCTCCCCCTCCGACTGTGTGACAACCAGAATGTTTCCTCACGTTGCCAAATGTACCAGGGAACAAAACTGCTCCTGGCTGACAAACGCTGGGTTTGGAGAAATCTTTTGTCTTTAGTACAATTCACTATTTTTAAACACCTAAATTTGCTTATTAATTTCCTCTCTTTTGTATTACTACCTAGTAAACACAAGCAACTTGTCGACCCCAAATGAAAGGAAGGCACAGGGATAAAAACAAAACATCGTTTCTGAACCAGGTGATAAGGGGACATTGGACACAGTGCAATCTGTGAGGCAAAAACTAAACCCACTCAGAGCAATGCAAAGTCTCAGTGCCATTTGATTTCAAAGCACATGGAGAAGCAAGTTTGTCCAAATGACATTTTCTTCACTTTTTCAATGAGTTCTGGTAGATTGTTAAAGACTGGCTTACTCTTTCCTGCGGGCAGATTTCCGTTTCTCTTCATTAAGTTCATGAGCAGCATCTCGAAGTTTCACCTCTGACCCAGGGATACTGGCTGGAATGATATCTAGCTGAAGACTTTTACTCTGGAATGAGAGAGTCAATTATATCAGTAAAGAGGACATCAGGAAGAAGATCAGGATTTATTCAGCTTGCACAAAGCAATTTACCGATTTGTTGGAATCTGAAGAAATCCCCAGGGCTTTCTCCAAAGAGGTCCTGTACTTCTCCATCCGCAGAGAAAAATCTCTGTACCTCTTATCCACTGCGGTAACACATTTTTTTATCTCTGCTGCATGTGCATGCCCTTTTTCACAAAAGCCATCAGCCAGCTGTATCAATAGCTTCACTCTCTCTTTGGTTTGCTGCAAAAAACAACAGGAAAGTATTGTGAAGCAAATGAGCCCAGCCGCCAGGGACCCGAAACACAGTGGCCACTTGCCTACAACTCAGACCAAACAGGAAGAGATGGCTGGTGGTAGAAACTCAGATGAAAGCCCCAAGTCCATGCAACCCATCTTCCTGACTCTAGATGAGCTGTCTTTCCTCAGCTCTTCCATAACAAATGGCAGTTTTATGACCTCAAAGAAAAAGTCCAGGCTGTTTTTCAACAATGTCTTCATCTGGTAGGTGTTGAGTAAAAATCTGTGCAATGAATGAATGAATGAACATTCCTTCAGGATGTTCTCTTTACAATTCTTTATTCTCCTCCTTTGAATACTGCATCGTTACAAAGGAGCTGTGCAAAGACAGCTCCTTGTTTTATACAAGCTTATTCTAGGTGTCAAATTGGACCTATGGCTCTTGCAGGGCAAGCAGCCATCTGACTTTTTGGTCTTCCTAAAGAATGTGTAGCAAAGGCTGCTCCTTGTTTTATACATGCTTATTCTAGGTGTCAAATTGGACCTATAGCTCTTGCAGGGCAAGCAGCCATCTGACTTTTTGGTCTTCCTAAAGAATGTGTAGCAAAGGCTGTCCCCGTGGCAGGCACTGAACAAAATTCTTGATGAAGCTCCCCCATATCACACGTTCATTGCGTTTTTTTAATTCTCAGGAGACGGAGGAAAATTTACTAGTCAGAAAATTATCTTCATGGAGGTATTTTAAATTTTGTCCCTGTTTGAGAACTCACTAAAAGATTATTCTGTTTTATATGTACATAGAAAAAGATCTTTTGCTAGGTTAAGCATAATTTTATTACTTTTCATAAAGTTAAGAATAACTGTAAAACAATGGTTTTATATATATAATGGTAGTAGCTTCACTGAACTCTGATTCCCCAACAATCTTTCTCGTCACATTCACTTCACTGATTATTATTACCAGGCTTCCTTCGACATTCCCCTGGCATTTTCAAATTAATAAGTTAATCTTCTGCTATGGAACCTGCTTTTCTCAGGTAAACTTTAACAAGAAAATCTTTATGAACTATTTTCAGAAAACTGACATTTAAAAAATCCCCAAAAGGAAGGTGGTCAGAGTTCAAAACCCAGATAAATTATCTTAGCTTGTAAAATGAAATTTTTAGTCCAAATTCACTGGGCAACCTGTAAAGTCAGCTGTAAAGTTCCTTCAGATGCTACATGAACACCACGGGCAACCTGTGGGCCACCGAGTGCGTGGTCCCACAGCGCTGCCCTCCTGTGTCATCTGCTCCAGGCTCATGCCTCTGGTCCTCAGCACCGCTGCTTCTGCCTGCAGTGCTGTTCCCCTAGATATCTCCGTGGCGCTTTCCCATCTCTGCTCAAATAAAGGCCACCTCAGGGGGCCCTCCCGGGACCACCTTCAACGGTCCTCAGCACCGCTGCTTCTGCCTGCAGTGCTGTTCCCCTAGATATCTCCGTGACGCTTTCCCATCTCTGCTCAAATAAAGGCCACCTCAGGGGGCCCTCCCGGGACCACCTTCAAACTGCAACTTTCTACTCTGCCTTGACCACCCTTTGGTTGTCTGCTCTCGTATTCTCCATAGCACATATCTCCTTCTAGCAGAGGGAGTGATTTATTTATTGGTTAAGATTGTCCGTCTCTCTCCTGTGAGAATGTCACCTCCACAGGCCAGGGATATTTGCTTGTTTTGCTTACTAATATCTCTTCCATGGTCACAGACACCATCTGTGGAGGGTACTGCAAACTGTGTGTATGTGTATCTTTAAGAGATTAAGAGAGCTACTTAGCGTTGTAAGTGCTAGAGATACAGATGTGAAGACAAAAAAGATAATGCAGCCTGCCTACATTAAAACAGAAAACGAAAAACACCAAGAAGCTAAAGAAGATTTCGTATATGTAGAATCACAGAATATACCTATTGCTGGCATGCAACACCAATAGGCTGATATTGATCATCTGAAACTAGATGCAACATGGAAGGTACCCTACAAGCAAAGCCTGATGGGTTGATAAATCTTCCCTGCATTAACTCCAGTTAAACAGAAAATGCTCATCAGATAGTCAAAAGGTCTTCCCTGGCCCCTCTGTCAAACACTGTACCCTCTCTTCCCTCACAGCTTTTTCCTCTTCTTACCTAAAATAATACATAGATACGTATGCATTACCCATTTATCACGTTATTCGTCTGTTTCTCTAACTCGAATGTGCAGTCCACGAGCCTAGTACCCAGTAGTCCCTGGTACACAGTAAGGGCTCAATAACGAAGTAAATAAATGTTGTGATAAAAACTAAGTAAAATGAATCTGCTAATCCATCAACCTTTTATATCTCAATATATTTTTATTTTAATTGGTATTTTAAAAATACATTCACAGGATTCAAAATTCCAAAGGCAAAAAAGGAAACAAAGTGAAAATTCTTCTCAGCCCACCTTCCTCCTGTCACCAGCCCCAATTACCAGCTTCTCGTGTATCTCTCTAGAGATGCTTCACACACAGCATACGCACAAGCAAGTGCATGTATGCACGTGTGTATTTTTCTCCCTCACGTAAATGCCTGCATACAAACACTGCTCTGCACCTGGTATTTTTCCCTTAACAAATCTTGGTTATGCTTCCCTATCAGAACAGAGGCCGCATCCTCACTTGTCTTTAGAGCTGCATGATATTTTACCGTGTGGATGTTCCATAACTTCATCAGGCCTCCCCAATGATGGGCCTTTGTGTTGTTTCCAATCTCCTCTTACCACAGCAACAACTTAAAAAAACAAATCTATTCCTGTGAGGTTTGATGAGGCTTAGCATATGTAGTTGGAACACACATGGCGAGATGGAATTAACTGTCCGACAGACAGTAAGTGCTTCCACGATGCCAAGAGATGCTGCGAGAGGCCCCACAGAGGTTGGCCAATTCACTCCTCAAGCAAGGAGCCTGTCAACACAGTGTGTGATCCAGCTTTTTAACCTCTGCTAATCTAGTGGGTGAAAAAGAAACTCAGTGTAGCTTTGACTTACACTTTTCTTATTTTAAAATCTCCTGTGTTTAAAAGCCATTTATAATTTCTTTCCTGCGACTCACCTTTACTTTCTTTTGTCCATTTTCTTGCTCTTTTTGTTTTTCTTACTGATTAATGAAAGTTCTTTACTGTTTGGAAACCTGTCCATTCTGATATGAGACACATATATATATCTTTCCTGTTTTCTTTTTGTCTTTAGACTTTGTTTTATGGTGGATGTTCTTTAGAAACTTTTACATTTTTTGCGTGTAGGTGCTTTACGAAATTTTTCTTTTATCAGTTTGGGTTTTACATCATTTAGACAGACTTAAATCCTGTTATTTCTTCTAGTACTTTTAGGTTTTCATTGCTGATATTTAAATCTTCTTCCCACATTTATCTTGGTATCAAGGTGAGATATAAATCCACTTTAATTATTTTCCAGGAGGCTACCCAACATCATTAAAAAGAATTCCTACTCTTTTAAAGTGAAATATTAAGGTTTTCATCCTTATTCTATTTGTTATCTCTAGAGATTGTTATAAAAGTGGATTTTTACTTTAAAAGTATATAAATATTATAATTAAACAACCTCATCTGTAGGCATAATTAAGGGATTGGAAAAGTTATCTCTAGAGATTGTTATAAAAGTGGATTTTTACTTTAAAGTATATAAATATTATAATTAAACAACCTCATCTGTAGGCATAATTAAGGGATTGGAAAAAAATAAAAGCAAACTGAATTCTTAAGTCTACCTACTCAAAAGAGCTTTACTCCTCATGTTCTTAGGTAATCAGAAACACAGCAAGGACACATTCGATGGTGTTAGACACTTTCTAACAAAGTAAGGCATTCTGTTTGGCCTTTAGCTTTATTCCCATTAACACTAAAAATGTTATAATATTAATTATTGTACCAATGGGATTGGACAACTATACTGTCAGAGTTAAGAATTCTCTATATAACAAAAGAAAGATGGTTTCTTAGAAGACACTAAGATAGGGCGACAGAAGGCAAGCAGGAGAGCAGCCTCATTTCATGAAAAACCAAATGACATCTCCCAACACCAAAGCAGGTGCTTTCTGCTTAAGAGAAAGGCAACCAGAAACCAAAGAAGAAAAGCTGCTAAGAAAAAAAAAGTGAGGGGTGTTCAGATCTACCAGTTCCTCCCAGCATAACTAATTCAGTATACCCAATGAAAGAAACACTTCCATACATCTTGCAAACAGGTCAGATGTCACCTACAATTTTAAATGTTTTTTATACAAAAATAAGAATATGTCTATTTCTACCTACTAATAACCACATTACAAACTTGAGGAAAAGGAACATTTAGGAGTAGTGGAAAAATCTTTCACACACATTCTATTGTTGGAACCAGGCTGCCACATTACTCAACCCCACACAGTCACATTCACATAATATTCCATGTGCACGGCGGCCCCCGGATGCGTGCGCCAAATATGCTGTTTGGCCTTACGTAGTGGCCTGCAGGCAGTGGAGCGGTAGTGAAAAGAGCGGATCTTAAATCTACCTCTGAGTGCTAAAGAAGGCATTTGCTTAGTACCTTTACACTCAGAGGATATTCAAAGAAACAAATACAGATCATGTAATGCACATAATAATTATGATTTACTATCTAAATATCAACAGAAATGAGAACTATACAGCCAAATGTGTGGTGTACCTAGAAGAAGGAAAAGCCATATCCTTACTTGCAGAAGCAGGACCCGTCAGCTCTCCTGAGTGCTTGTCATACATCTGGGTGCAGCTTTGGTTCCTGGCTTTCTTGACTCCCTCCCCACACCTCAGTGCTCACAGTGCTCCCTCCCAGTGCCAACTCTTCTCACCACCACCCCAGGGATTGGCTTCTCTGTAACCCTTCTAGAGTGTGATCCTCTGAACAGGGACCACGGAGTCCCAGGGCCCAGCACCCTCAGGGTTGAAGGAAAATAAACTTACAGTGTGGGGGACCTGGAGCACAGGGTGGCAAGGAAAAGCAGGAGGAGTCAGAAATGGTTACAGAAAATATAAAAATGGATAAATAAACTTAATACAAAGTAGCTGGCATCACTCTTAATGATTTAAAAATTCCTCATTGATATGTTTTCAAAGCCAAGTTAAGGGCCACACAAGATAATCAATCCTGTTACTTCATATAAACACTTTTTTTTTTCCTTTTTGTCTTTTTTCGTGAC